TGTAAGTGGAGTAAATGTGATCATTAAGAATAAAGATGAAAGCAAGATGGGGAGGCGGAGCATCAAATCCACACTCTACAGCAAAATGGAAACAAACAAGCAAAATCCCAATAGCAGCAAAAGCCCGAAACTCCTTTAAGACAAAGTGCTATTTATTAATGAGCTGTTTTCTCATCTCTCCTTCTGAGGGAAAAATCAGTGAGAGAGACCTTCATGCACAGCCAACGGGTCAAAAGTGACCTTTGCGAAGTGGCCTGGTTTCATAGGAAGTATGGGATGTAGAGGGCAATTTGGGACTTCAAAGAGATAGGAGGCTGAGGGCATCTAACTGGAAACCCGCCCTGTCCCCACAACCCGGGGAAAGGGTAGGAGTCAAGTTCACCGCCAAGATAGAAGTGGTTTAATTTCAGAAGGATATTGTGGGTCAGCCAGTGTACCCCTACTAGGTGACTGCTGTGATTTTTGCTGGCTAAATGAAGTTAGTTGGCCACTAACCAGGGGTAGCTAGAAATTCCAGTTGCCCAGATTCACGTCTGTCTCCACCTCCAGACTGTAATCTCTTTAAGGACAGGGGTTATATTTTTAATCTCTGATTCCCCAGTGCCTGGCACAGCATACATGCTCAGGACCTGAAAGAAAGAATTATATCATTAAAACAACGGTTTACATGAATTTATTTATCCATTCACTGAGTATTTATTGTGTATGCGTCAGGCCCTGTGCTGGGGGTCCCTAATACATCAGACGACAACCCTGGTCTCCGTCCTAATGGGGATTGTGGTCCAGGGGCACGAGGCGTGGAAGCGCCAGAGGAGGTCGGAGGAGGGGACGGTGGCCGCGGGCTCGCCCGGCGCGCGCTCTACAGAGGCTTTCCTCTCGCTGTCGGTGGGACCTGCAGAGCACACAGCAAGAGGCTGGGGCCACATGGCTCAAATCCGGGGGGCCTCTCGCTGGCCCCCGCCCCCCACGGTGTGTGCCGAAAGATGAAGAAAAGCGGGGCGCCCACCTTGACAGCCGCTCAAAGCCCAAGACCCAACGCGCAGAGAACGTCATCTGCATCCTTGCTCTTATCAGAGAAGGAAAACCAACAGGGAGACGCGAAGAAAAGCCCACGGCTCGCGCCGAGGGCGGGGGCGCGCTTTCCCGAGGGAAGGAGGCGACGGCTCTCAATTCGGCGGCGGCGCGCCCCCTGCTGGACCCGAGGCCGTTCTGCAGCAGCGGAGCGTGGGCTAAGGCAGGCGGGGGAAGCCAGCTCAGCACCAGTCGGAACACGGAACGAGGTACGTTCCTCGTTCCTCTCAAAGCCAGAAACCAAGTCCCCAAGGGGAAAAATCTACCAAGGCTGCCCCCGTTCCCTACCTTCCGGGAGAACAGGAATGGGGAAGTGGTAAACAAAACTCCATCTGAGCCAGCGCCTTGGCTACCCACTCTGCTGGCCAGCTCACTACTTCGTTGGGGCCTCGTTTCCCGTCTGGGCTTACCCTGGGAAAAAGCATATAAATTATTATAGAACATCCATGCCTCTCTTTTTCTGCAAATACAAGGACACTGGGCATGGATAATAATACAGATAACATGACTTGTAACGTCTATATCTAGCTTACTGGCTTCTCCCTTCACCCCCTCCCCCAACAGCATATAATTTGAGGATTTTCTTAAAAGAAAGACTTTAACGCCCCCAAACTAATCTTTTCCAAACAGCGATAATTATAAATTCCAAACAAAAACTTAGAGGCATGCAAACCTCTGTCAGGCTTTTCATTTCAATAGATCCTCTAATTAAAAGCTATAATTTAACAAATAATGACCTAACCATCTCACTTTGAAATCAAACAAAAAACCCACCCGTAAAATGTTGGACTAGATAAAGATAATGAATCCAGGCGCAATTCAGACTCCTGCTGGGCCCATCCTGGCCGGCTTCCAGCCACGGGCCTGCCGCCTGTCATTAGCCGCAATGGTTTTCCAAACCATTTGGAGCAAACTCACTACAGGGAGGATAAGTGAGCAATTTGTGAGGCTAAGTGTCTTTTTGGACCCACTCCCGCTGCTGACGGGGCAGAATGGGACATTTATCCCTGCCTTGCCCTCATTCATTGTCACTTGGTCAATTTCATTTTCTCCCTGACCCCTATGTGGGCCCTGGGGGAGCATGCTGTTTCTGAAGTCATAAGCAGGAAGGAACGTGAAAAGGAAGCAAGGAAACCAGGTGATGTTCACTGCAGGCAGCGTCCTAAGTGGTTAATAAAATAATCAACGATGAAAGCAAGATTGCTTCCCACCTACCATGCCCTCTCCCTTAGCTGGGAATTGGGCATCTGTGCCAGGCTAAAAATAGCCTCATGTTCTGGAACCTCCCCCGCAGCCCAAGCTCACGCTGGTCACCTGTGTGTGCCACCCGGCCGCTCTGCAAGAGCGCGAATTCTCCGTGGCAGGAGGGCCTCAAATACTGGCCCCTTCCTGGAGTCCTGGGATGAAGAGAGAATCAACTACCTCGAACAAGTCATCAGGGATGGCAAAGTCTCCCCAGGGAGCCAAGGTAGGAAGAGTGGGCACTGGGTGAGACCCCAGGAGAGTACAAAGCTTAGGCACTCTGAATCTGTCTGCAGACTCAGGGAGGAAGGAGCTGCTGGGTGTACCAGTGTCACACTCTCGCCTCCAGGACCTCAGCCTGGCCTGTTACATCCCCAGGAACTGCTCTTGCTTTGAAACCTTAGGGTTTTTATCTCCCTCTCCCCGTCATTCTGTACCTGTTCTTCAACCTCAAATAGACCTGATAACAGCCATCAGCTTCAACACCCTCAATGCTACCATATATTGAGCGCTCTCAATGTGCCCAGCACTTTGCTGAGTACTCTCTGTGGATGGATTCAATCAATGCTCCCAACAAGCCTAAAACAATAATAATAGATTTGTTATCCCTTGTTCCTTCATTTTCTTTCAGGCTCTTCCTGGGTTCTTTTCCTTTCTTAACCAATGGTACTGCACAGGCCAACCAGTTTTGAGTGCCTGCTACACCCAGAGTCCTCCTCTGAGGAAAGTGGTTACTTTGGGAGGCGGGGGGCACCGTGCTCTTGCTTCACCTGGTATCATGTGACTAGATTATTCTTCTGCTGCCATTGGGTCAGTCCTGGGATGGAGACCCAAGCCCAAAGTGGCAATGGATAGGCTGGACGTAAGCATGACCAGTCACTGGTGATACGGGCCTGTGAGAGTCTGTCCAATAGGGATGCTCCATACAGGATGGTACAATGTCACCCCAGCAGATTTTCTCTGGAGGTATGAATGTAAGATGCACGCTGGGACAATGGAAGGCTGCTTCATGGAAATGACAAGTAACTGGATGTAGGTTGAATCTTTCAGCAGTCTTACAACATAGATACTATTAGCAACCCCACTTTAGAAATGAGAAAACAGAGGCTTAAGCAAGTTGATCAACTTGCCATGGGTCACACAGCCATGGGAAGGAGACTCAAACCCCGGCAGTGGGACTGAAGAAACTGTGTCCAAATTTCCCCTTTTTATAAGGACACCAGTCATATAGGATTAGGGACCATCTTAATGGCTTCATTTTGACTTGATTACCTTTGTAAAGACCCTATTTCCAAATAAGGTCACATTCTGAGGTATCGGAGTTAGGACTCCAACATATCTTTCTAGGGGGACACAATTCAACCCATAACAAAATGAAAAGCAACATTATATCTGAACGATCTGTTTTTGGGTCTGTCGTCTCTAAGATCCTCAAGCGCAGGGTTCGTCTCTTCTTCAGCTCTGTAGCCTCCATGTGCTGGCACGTGACTTTTCCAACCATGTGGTTTTTTCTTATTATGAAGACCCAGCTCCCGTAAGTAATGGTAGTTTTGTAAATCACTCAGCGATATTGCAATACAAAGGGCTGAAGGACTCTCAGGCAGGCCAGTGGTTACTAAATAGCTTTCAATGGATCCCACATTCTAGAATGCAGGGCAGGGTAGAGTAACCTCTGGCATCTGTGCCAAAGGTGACATGATTGAGGGACATGACAAGGATATCTGCTGTGACTTCTTCCCGCCAAATTCCCGGCCCGTCTGTTCACTCTCCTTTCCCAACTTCCACCAGCCCTTCCCTTACCAGGCAGGTGATGTGTCAACTTAACTGGGTCAAGGGATGCACAGATATCTGGTTAAACATTCTGGGTGTGTCTGTGAGGGTGCTTCTGGAGGAGGTTAGCATTTGAATCAGTGGACTGAGTCCAGCAGATGGCCCTCCCCAATGTGGGTGGGCATCACCCAACCCATCGAGGGCCTGAGTAGAACAAAAAGGCAGAGGGAAGGTTGAAGTCTTTCTCTCTCCCTGACTATGGAGCTGGTCTTCTGCCCCTACATCATCGGCTCCCCTGGTTCTTAGGCCTTCGGATTCAGACTGAATTGCACCACTGGCTTTCCTGGGTCCCCAGCTTGCAGATGAGAGATTGTGGAACTTAGCGTCCGTCATCACATGAGCCAGTTCCTCATAATACATCTCTTTATATCTGTGCCTCTCTATTTATCTAGATTTCCTATTGGTTCTCTCTCTGGAGGACCCGACTGATACAAGGCACCTCCTTGGGTCTCTCCTATTTTCCTAATCAGATTCTTATTTGATCCCAGGGAACGGGTTGCCTTAAGAAAGAAAAAAAAAAAAAAAGAGCAAAATATCCATTTTCACTGTTATGAATTCATCAGAAACAGGAACAAGAGCAAAACTTTGTAATGCCTAGGGGTTCCGGCAACTGTTTTACATTATTTTGTGTCCTCAAGTGAGAGGAAGGGTAGCTCGATGGCATTTTGTTTGTTTTTATGGTGATGTCTTTTTCCTTTTATTTTTTAATTTGTTTGTATATTTTAAATAAAAATGGTATACATTTAAGGTGTACAACATGATTTGATATACATATGCACAGTGACATGACTACAGGCAAGCTAGTTAACTTATCTCCTCACGTAGTTATCATTTTTTGTGCGTGATGAGTGTACCTGAAAAATGCGGGACGCTTCATGAATTTGTGTATCTTTCTTGCCCAGGGGCCATGCTAATTTTCCCTGCGTCGTTCCAATTTTAGCGTCTGTGCTGCCGAAGGGCACTTGATGGCATTCATTTTGTGTCGCATCTCTTCATGCTTTAGGCTGTTTCCAGGAGACAAACAGCTGGGTCCCGTAGAGCTGAAATTTTTCTTAACATTTGATGTCTTTTTTTTAATTGAAGATTTTCTTTCTTTCTTTTTTATTTTAAATAAGATTGGCACCTGAGCTAACATCTGTTGCCAATCTTTTCTTCTTCTCCTCCTCTTCCTCCTCCTCCTCTTTCTTCTCCCCAAAGCCCCCAGTACACGGCTGTATATTCTAGTTGTGAGTGCCTCTGGTTGTGTTATGTGGGACGCTGCCTCAGCATGGCCTGACGAGCGGTGCCATGTCTGCGCCCAGGGTCCGAACCAGCGAAACCCTGGGCCGCTGAAGCAGAGCGCGCGAACTTAACCACTCAGCCACAGGGCCGGCCCCAATACTTGATCTTTTAAAAGACCGAGCTGGGTTATAATCTGTAATGACAGTCTTAACCTAACCGCCTCTATCTCATCGAGGCGGATTGCAGCTGTGAGTGGATGCTCTTGATTTTGCTGTTTAGCAAGGTCAAACTTGGCAGCTGTTAGGGGCAAAATTGGAGGCTTGTTTTTTAAAATCAAAGGCAAAGTCTGGCAAACCACATTTAATGATGTGGGATTTGCATTTTCAAAGTCTGCTACGTATTTCATTAATGGGCACTTGGACTTACTGAGTTCCAAATCCTTAGAGCAAAACTATCAGCTATCAGTTCTTGGTGTTGAAGTGTGTCCAGCAATGATGGGAGATGGGCGTTCATGGCTGGGCCGCTGAGGGTGAGTCTATTAACTGATTATAGGATTCGTATGATCTCCTCTTAGGGATATTTGCATTTCATGTGAGGCAGAGGTTAAGTTCAAGGTGTCCTTCTCATCTCTCTTCCTCTCCTTCAGACTGAAAAGGGGCTCTTTAAGGACAGGAGCCCATCTTGCTTATCTTTGTGTCTCCCCAGCACCTCATGCAAAGCCTGATTAAATAGAATCCAATGGAACTGGACCATCTGTCTTCATTAGGACGTTTTACATTGCGAACAACCTCTACGACTAAATGCACTGCTTCAATAATAAAGAGACTCTTTTGGCTTATGTAACTGAACAGTGTAGGGGTAGAGCTTCAGGTATGGTTTGATCTAGTCCTCAAATAATATGTTCAGGAACCTGGTTTTTCTCTTACTATACTTCCTGGCTCCCCTTCTTTGGTACTAGCTCCATTCTCAGGCCTGCTCTCCGCTCATGGTGGCCAGATGGAAATAGCCATCTCCCAGGGCATGAGCCGTGCTCATGCCTCTCCAGCAGGCAAGAGTCTATTCAATTTCCACCAAGGAAGATGGAGGGTTTGTATTTCTGGAGGTTCCAGCAAACATCTCTTGGCATCTTATTGGTTTTGATTGGCAGCCACCCACACCCAAACCATGTACTGTAGCCAACAGGATCAGATGCCCTGCTGGGTTTAAGCTGATCCCACCCAGTGCGCTGAGAATGAATGAGCAGTGACTCCCCAGCAGAAAGTTAAGATCATTTTGGTGGGATGGATGCCAAGAAAACCATCAGAAATCTAAATCACACCAGCCAGCTCCTCTGTGGGTGGAGGTGGCAGCTTGGAGCAGCGTTTCCTTCCTGGGACCTGCCCACAGCTCTCTCGCCAGCTCTGTGGCCCCTTCACATTGGAACAGCTACAGGCATGAGAGTGGGAGCCCACATGGCCCTGGGCCATCCAGCCGTGGGAAGGAGAGGAGGAATGAAGGCTGCCTCCCCATCACGCGTCCCCCCTGACTTGCCGCGTTTCACCAGCCAGTCAAGACCTCTTTGACTTTCCCTCACCTCCCAGACTCTGAGGCAGTTTGTCCACCCTTGAGAATATCCACTTGGCTCAAATTCATGCACGTGGGGGACATTTTTCTGTTTTTAGGAAAAGGTTCGTTTATATATATAACCATATAAGCAATGTATATAAATACATATAGATAGCTATAACAGACATTAGTGGAGCAAGTGATGAAATTTGAATGTGGACTGTGGGTTAGATAATAGCATTGATTATTTTGACAGTTGTGCTGGGGTTATACAAGAGAATGTCTCTATTCACAGGAAATACACACTGAAGTCTTTAGGGATAAAGGACCGTGATATCTGCAACTTACAAATTGTTCAGGCGAAAAAACATATACATACATATATATGTATGTATATGTATTTATCTATATATGTATATATATATATACATATATAGATAAAGCAAATGAATAATGATGTAAATGGGACAAAATGCTATAAATTGGTGAGTCTGGGTAAAGGACTGTGGAAGGTCTAACTGCCTGGGTTTGCGTCCTTGCTCCATGCTTGCTGGCTAGCTCTAAACTTAACCTCTGTAAGCCGCACCTTCCCCATCTGTACGTGGAGGTAATGGTAGCACCTACTGCATAGGTTTATTGGGAGAAATAAATGGAAAGAATCCATGAAAAGAGCTTAGCACAGGGTCCAGCTCATGGTAAGAGCCAAGAGTAACGAATGTTAGCTATTTTTATTGCTATTACTGTCCCACAGTAATAGAGTCCCTGGGATAAAGAGGCATAAGTAGAAACTTCCTTCTAGGAGCATGGTGGCAGACACAGGGTGGAGGGAGGTCTTTTTCCCCCACAGGGAAAATGCTTGATGACGTCTCACATTTTGCATACATTTGGTGTTACATATTATTGTGTATTATGTCATACATATGGGTTACATATGGTGCTACACTGTATTTTTTGCAACTTGCCTTTTTCATTCAATGCAATGTCTTAGAGATCTTTCCATAATAATACTACTAATAATTAATATTTATTGAAGCTTACCATGTGCCAGGCACAGTTCTGGGCACTTTATGTGCATTATTTGATTCTCACAACAATCCTATGAAACAGATCCTCTTGTAATCACCATTTATGGATACAGAAACAGAGGCTCAGAGAGGGTAAGTAACTCCCCAAGGCCCTAGCACCAAAACTTGAACTCAGCTGGTCTCCAGAGCCTGTAGTCTTAATCACTACATTTTTCCATGCAAGTACATGAAGAGCTATTTCCTGGAAAGAAAGCAGTGGGGAGTGAGGAGAGAGCTACACAGTACTCCATGCAGTGGGTATACCAAAATCATTTAATCGTTCCCCAATCGATGGACATTTAGGTTATTTCCAATATTTGCTATTGAAAACAATGCTGCAATAAACATCTTTGAGCAAGCCTTGATAATATTACTATGTGTCCGACACCAAAGAAGAAAAAGAAGTTAAAAATATTGGAGGGAGAACCATTTTAGCAATAAAATAAATATAGTATTAGATTATAACCCCAAATTACATTAAATTCGTATTAGATAAATATCCACAAGTCCATAATGACATAAATAAATGATTGAATAATTAAATGGGGGAGAAAAGACAAATTTCCAATGTAGAATTCCAAATAATTTGAAATTCCAAATAAATGTGATGTGTTATCCTGGATGGGATTCTGGAACAGAAAAAGGACATTAGGCAAAAACTAAGGAAATCTGAATAAACTATGGACTTTAGTTAATGATAATAATGTATCAATATCAGTTCATTAATTGTAACACATGTGCCATGGCCATGTAAGATGTTAATAGTAAGAGAAACTGGGTGCAGAGTACATGGGAACTCTCTGTACCATCCTCTCAATTTTTCTGTAACTCTAAAATACTTTTTAAAAATAGTCTACTAAAAAAAAGTAAAAGAAAAAAATTACTGGAGAGACAGGGAACAGGTGTAGAGCAACGTCTGGGTTTTGTAAGAGATGGGAGAGGGCCTCCCCAGCCCAGCAGGAGGGTTCGCTTCCGACAGCGGGAGGAAAGGAGGCGCGGATGCGTGCAGTCCTATTTTGGGGTCCAGGCCGGAAGTTGAGGAGTCACCTCTGGGGGCCTCAGTTTTTCCTCCCTGACGCAGGAGGTAAAGGTGGCTACCTGCTGAGAGAAGGCCGATGGAAAAACTGTGGGTTGCAAGTGGTGACAATCTGGAGAGTCCCTGAGAGCAGTGCAGGAGGGAGCTAGCTGCTCAGGGGCAGAAAAGAGCAATTTCCTCTCAGGTCACGGATTTGCGCTGCGGGCAGCCCCCCCCAAGAGCAGGGTCCCCAGGCCAGGAAGCCTAGGTTGCCTGTCTCCTTGGAGTTCCACGTCTTGACCAGCAGAGGGCGCCAAGACACCACTCAACTTTTCTGCCGCCTCTCCACACCCCTCGCCTAGATCCCCTAGTTTTCTCTTTCCAAAGTTGCAAAGTCTTTGATTCTAGGAGTAAACAGTTTTTTTTCTGAGTTAGCCGTGTTTGAAGGATGAGAAATTCTTTGAAATAGCCCAAAGGAACTCCTTTGAGGAGGAAGAATCCAATGATGCTTCTGAGAGCTAGTTTCTTGTGCTTGCCTCCCTCAAGGAATCGCTGGCGGAGTACACGACCGCCATCACTGAGTACCTACTGTGTGTCGTGATCTTCCAAGTGCTGCCTCACTTAATCCTCACACCCGCCTCTGTGGTGGGGGTTGTTATCACCCCTTTTTTGCAGACAATAAACAGAGCCTCACAGAGGTTAAGGAGGTTACCCAAAGATCATTCCTATCGAGCGAAACTGCGTTCCTCTTAGGCTTCAACCGGTTGGAAATTATTCAATAGGCGTGTGCGCTGGGATGCTTGTCCTGGGAGATGCTCTGGGAGCAAAGGCTCCTGTGTCAGTGAGCTTGGCAAAGCTGCAGACTATCTCTGGGTCTGTGCGTACCAGCACATTGGAGAATCCTAGGAGGCAGGTGGCAAAGAAACCTGCCTGGTTTTGTTCAAACCCATCATTTTCCAAATGTATTTGTCTGGAGAACTTTTGTGGTGGTTCTTGTTAACATCCACAGAGCAAACTTTGTGAAACGCTGTGCTCAGCACTGTTGTCATGAGCCGCCAGACTTCTTTGGAAGAGGTAACATGGGGAGCGGGGTGGAGATTGGTGTGGAACAAGGAGA